GCGGCTAACGCCTTTGTATGGGGGGATCCCAGATTACTGTATCTAGCCAATTTATCTGTTATTTTCTTCTTGGTGTCTCTTCCACCAGTGGACTAGACCTCTTTTTTTCACTCCACCACCGGCATAAGCCCCGGGCGCCTGCCCGTGGTGCTGTCGGCGAAGTCGCTGACTCTATGGTTGCCCTCCACGTCGATTTCCCGGAAACCCAATGCCACCCCCATGTATCCACCGCACGGACCTCCCGGCTCAAAACCCGCGCACACCAGAATGACGTGCTGTAGCGTTTCCTCGGCCAATTGTGTGCCAAAAATGCATCGCACGTTTGTGTCCGTGTACTTTGCCCGAAGTATACGCGTTCTAGCATCCCTCCTCGGGTGTCGAACAGAAGTTCACTGCCCCTGCCGTTGTCCATAAAATCAATCTTTCTCATGTCCTGTTTTTCCAGGTGTACAAGGTAAGTGCAGGCTTCTGCCTCGCCCTCTGCACCCACCGTTGAGCCTCAGTCTCGGTGACTCTCATGCGTATGCTTTTCATTTCTTGTTCTAAAGCTGGGTAGAGGACAGGGCTGCCTATGTTACATTTGAGAGCCAGCTGGCTTGTTTGTCGCACCAACCTAGTCGAGATACACTTAAGCTGGATGTATTTCAAGGCCAGTCTTGCTCATTGCCCTTACTGCATACGGCAGAGGCGTCGTTCAAAGCCCAGCTTGGCCCGGCCCTCTCTGGCCTCGGAGCTTGACCACGCCACGTCCACCTGCACTGCCTCGTTAGGTGTTCCTCAGCTGGCTCCCAATGCCGCCCGTCCCACGTCCCTCTGGCGCACCTTTTGGCACTCAGCATGCGAGACGACAGGCACATAACTCTATTTTCAAATGCGAGACCCGGCACTGCTATAATCTCCCACAGCGCCGGGGAGATCTTGAAATGGTTGTAACCCCGGAGAGCCCTAGCGGTCGTTTTTTCCTTAGACTTCCTGCTCCTATCCTGGAACCCAGTCGCATGGTCTTTGAAGTAGTTTCGGCCCTCCTCAATGTGGATCCCCAGGTAGTTGTATTGTGATACCCACGGAACGTTTTCTCCCTGAATTCTCCGGTCTTTTACCTCGGTGTGTGCTCTGTCCCCAAAGACGAACAGTGCCAAATTCTTAGCTCTCAAACTCAACCCCAGTGCCGCCCTCTTTGTGTTGCACTCGCTCATGAAGGCCTGGAGGCCCACTAGGGAGTCTGCCATCGTAACAATAACGTCGGCATAGGTTAGCCCAGGGGTTTTTACTCCACCACTGGTTCCCTCTGCAGTACATTCGAGGGTGAAGCCCTCGGCACAGTCCTGCAAATTCTTTACGAAGCCGACTACGTAGAGCAAAAACAGCAGTGCCGACATTGGGCAGCCCAGTCTCAGGCCCTTTGTGATGGTTACTGGATGCGTCATCTCTTGTTGCCACTGCGCCACCACAGTCGTCTCCCTGTGGATTCCCTTCATCAGGTTGATCAACTCACATCCGACACCCCGATTTGCCAGCTGCCTCCACAGCGTCTCATGGTCGATGGAGTCTTAAGCCCTGCTCATGTCGAGAAAACAAAGCAACAGTGAACGCCACTCCCTCAGGGCGATCTCTATGACATGCGTCAGTACGAATATGCTGTCCTAGAGGCGTCTCCCTCATCGGAAATCATTCTGAAGCTCCCCAGGGCTCCTCCTTCTTCTGTCCATGCCTGCAGTCAGTCTCGTACTACCTGCGTGAACACGCGGTAGAGTACTGATGTAATGGCTATAGGGCGATAGTAGCTGAGCGTTGACCTTTGCGCTTTTCTCTTGTAGATGAGTCAGAGTCTTGATGTTTTGCCACTCCACCGGCACACGGCCCTAGCTCAGGATCTGGCTGATAATCTCACATAGCGATGTTCTCGTCTCTGGCCCCAGTTCCTTCGCCAGCCTCACTGGGAGACAGTCCATTCCAGTGGCAGTGGTTTCTCCTATCCTCTTGTGTGCTCTCCTTGTCCCCCTCTCCTTGAATTCTTTCTGCTCGGTTGCTCCTGCAGTTCTTCCTCCGTCCCCCCTCCTTACTGTCCATCTGTTGGCCGTCCCCCGCGAACATGTCCCTAATCCACTTCTCAATGCACCGGTTGGTTTTTCCAAGTACTAACTCTTCTCTGGTAGTGCCGCCTCTAATTAGCGCATCCCCCCTGGGTGGCCTGTTTGGCCCTGTACATGTCGCCAGAGCTTCAGTAGGGCCTCGCGTCCTGCCTCCCTCAGTTCTAGGAATCTCTTGTCTCCCTTGGCCATCTTGTTTTGAATCAGACCTGTCATCTATACTTCCCTGCTCTGATATTCCCTCCGCTATCTTGAATATTTCTGTAAGGGGGCTCTTTTCTCCTATGTTAGTTTCCTGATGGTCCCACGCAGAGTTATGTTTGTCAGTGGACTATTTGAAATGACCTCCCTCCCCTCTACACAGCACCATCGTTTTGTCCTCCTCTTCCACCGCGTCGGTTTTGGAGTCGTGAGTAATGTCAGTGTTCTAAAACGCCCTTAGCCGTCGCACTCTCGGCAACACGGCTCAGTGCGAGCTCAGAGTAGAAAAATTGAGGCGTACATAAAACGGTGGTATGCGATTATGGTAGCAGCGTTGTTAGATGCAGAAAACAACAAACTAATTTTTTCTGAAAGAAAAGAAAATAAGCTACTAATGGGTGGATGCCACGCAAAAAGCAATGAATCCAAAATTAGTTGTACGAGGAGCGGCTTGAGGACAACATTGATGAATATCGAAGACCCCTTCGGGTGCCTCGGACGACATGCGCAACAGCGCGAGCTACGACAAGTTGGGCGTTCCCGATGCCGCCGCCGTCATCCTGCAGAGCGAAACTTGCGAAGTTGCCAGACACGCGGACAAACTACCGCCAATTGCGAAGACATCACCCGCCAGGCGGGTACGGTTTGTGCAGACCGTAAAAGAGCTCCCTTATTCCCTGTTATGTCTGCGTCATTGCGGCTGCGCACAAAGTCGTGACGTTCTCGCCACGTGATGTACATCCCGGAGAGAATTCCTTTCCTTAGCTCAGAAAAGGGAGGGATTTTTACTTTTTTAGCACCGCTTAACACCGGGAAAAAATGTATTCATGTTAAAGCGATCTTCCGCGGCCCGACCAACTGAAATATAACATCAGTTCTGAAAAATAAATACGGAATCATATCAGCGTATACCCGATTAATCTCACAATTGAACAAACAGCAATACCAATGAGCTGATCATTTCAGTCATATGTACTCAAGCATTTTGTTCATTTTGTTAACAATTTCATTGTTACCTTGAATTGAAAACATGAAGACCTTTTGGGCGTTCATATTCGAGGCGTTTGCTGCTGTAGCAGGGCAAAGAGGACGTCTGAGTGCTAAAGTTCCGTAATATATTGCCACGCTCGTCAGCGAGCGACCGCGCGAGTGGCCGAGTGGTTACCGTGCTTGACTGTCGAGCAGGAAGTCTGGGTTCGATTCCAGTCAGTGAAATGCTCTTTTATTTGTTCTTTCATTGCGTTCTCGTGAGTTCGAGAACATTCTCGTCAGATCGAGTTCTGAATGTTTCAGTCGCCGAACAGTCTGGGCCGATTGTTCCAGAACCCAACGCGCGTACATAAGGGACTCCGCGTGCTGATCTGCAGTCAGTTTTCGCCCAGCGTTCGACTCTGCTGCTACGCCGACTTCGACGCCCGCGACGCTCCGTTATTATCTTTCGTACCCTTTTATTTTTGGCACAAGTTCGCCACATTAAACGTTTATTTCTTTCTGTTCATTTATTGTTTATTGTTTATTGGTCACCACCCGTGACATTTTGGTGGAGGTGCGGGGTACCGCATGCCCGTGCAGCGTTCCCCTCCCAGGACCCGCAGTGCAAGCCCGACTCCAAGCTCGCTGAGAAGACCACTCAGCGCGGAACCTGAAACTCGGACCAGCCGCCGCACCAAGGGAGACGATCCGGAGTACGGCTTGCTCGTGGACAAACCCAAGCCGAAGAAGAAGACGATGGACAACCAGTCGAAGGCCCCCGCCGCTCCTGCCGTCGCCTACCTACCCGTCGCTCCTCGGACACCGGCTCCCTTCCACGGCGAAAGCCACGAAGACATCGATGACAGGGTCCAACAGTAGGAACGAGTGGCTCGTCATAACGGGTGGACACCGGAACAGTGTCTGCAGAACGCTTACTTCGCCTTGGAAGCAACCGCCCGGAACTGGTTCGAGAACCACGAAGCTTCGATCACTTCCTGGGAGCAACTCAAGGCTGAGTTGCGAAGAACGTTCATGAACCAACAACGAAGAGAACGTGCGGAAGAGCTTCCCCTTAGCAAAAAGAGGCCGTACTTCAAATGAAGTTGAAATGTATTGAATACGAGTATTCATTTTGTATTCATTCTGTATTATTTTGGCCGCACTCGAAATAAGCGCGTAATGTATTTAAAGTTAATCATAAATATCATTCAGAAACTGTTTCAAATACAGCAAAAATATAATTCTTTCAATGTCAAAATACCATCGGTGTATTCAAAACTGACCAAAAACTCATTTACAACTTACAGCTAAAGAATTTAAAAGTTGTCAGAAATGTAATGCTAAATATGCTAAAAATGAAGTAAAAATATGCTAAAATTATATCTGAAATATATCAAGAATTACTAGATTGTACGGTAGAATAGCATTTTAAGTAGGTCAAAAATTACCTTCAAATATACTAAAAGTGACTTGGAAGTATGTACCAAAAATACTAACCAAATCTATTTTACATGCATCTAGATAATACGATATTAATATGCGTGAACTACTGCTCCAAGCCTTCCTGGTTGTAGTGGTGTTCGGCTGCACACATACCGTGAGTAGAAATGTTACATGGTTTGCTCAACTAACACACCTGAGAAAGTCAAGGTGCCCAGTTGGGACAGCTCAACAAAAGAGGTCTGTGCCAAGTGTCTCATCATGCAAAGCAGGATTGCAAAATAACCCAGAGCTCAGTTACAATTGTCAATTTTTTTTATTTCTCAGTGATACGATTCAGAAATAGGCAGGCTTCTTCTTGAGGGAGGAGGCCGCATTGTTGCACTTTCGTCTTAGGTACCTCCTGATATTCCCCTCGCATTCTCCAGGAAATTTGTTCATGACGTAGACTGAAAAGAAACAAGTCAAATAATTACATGAGGCTTCTTAAGTTTCTGAAAGAATCTGATCAATCATTAGTCTCTATGGTACAGTAAATAACAGTGTTCCAGGGCCGGCCACGTACCTTACTAGAATCAACATCCCAGCTGAGACTGTGTTAAAGAAACACAACGCACACCTAGTGTATGCGTGAAGTAGAACGCTATAGACAACTAGCCTCAGCTGAGACCAGATCAAGCAAGCTGGTTAAGGGGTTTTGATACTGTATAAGTGGTAATCATTAAGAAAATGGCCATTGGTTTTCTCGTTATTCCAGAACATTAGCCCAAAGGAGGGATTGGGAATACACAATCACATTTTCATTTAGAACCTAGTCCTAACAACACTAATGTTTTTAGAAAGCAGTGATGTGATTTATTCGTCATTTTGTACCACCTTATGGAGCAGCTAAAAGTCTGTCTTAGATCAGCAAAATAGCTATTTGCAGATCTAAGACAAAGCTAAGTATAAACTTTACTCTCATTCGTTCCAGTCCAATTATAAGATTCATATCAGATCAAAGACAATGCTCCTTTCCCACCTCTCTGCATCTGCTATTAGCATTACGGAAGACAGCATTCAACCCTCAACTGGCCTATGTGCTTAAAATCTTCAGACACAGGAGCAAGGATGTCATAAGAAAAGCCTTTTTCTAGGTATTGTTGTAGCAGCAGTCTTATACACAATTGGATTGAATGATGTAGAGTGACTATATGAAAATTTATTCGAAGTATGAATTTGATGGCAAATTTAGTCCGCTGAAATTGTGTGAGACTATAATAAACATAGTAAATAATTGTATGCTTTATTCAAGTTCAGAAGTTAAAAAAACTACAAACCTTGATAGCTACAAAATATTTTCACATAACTGTGCTTACTAATGAAATAGTTACACAGAGATTCATGATTACGGCAGATCACATAGGCAATGACTGTTGTCTTAAAAATCCAGAACTCTCTAAAGTTGTTCTCAAACCTCCCTTTCACTGCTGAAGTTGGCGAAGGTATAAGTTATTTGTGACAGTACACTTGGGACAGCTCGAGGCCTATACGAAAATAGGAACTAAATGAGCGATTTCACATAAAAGCAAAACATACATCCTATTGCAAGGCTGGGCACCACTACCATTTCTTTGGTGGTGCAGGTAAGCATGTGCAGTTGCAAGCTTTCCAAACTTGCCGTTACACACCTGCTGCACGTGCTTGCATGCTCGAAGCTCCCGCCAGAACACAAGCTCACAATTAATTCAGTTTTTAAAGGGATACTTCAACGAAATTTGAAATATTCCCGTCGTGTTCAAAAATAGGTTCAATATGATCCACAATATCCGTAAATGACAATTGCACGTTTGTATTTTGATCCGGGTGGCTGTATTTTTCGTTTTAAACGGCCCACACTGGCAAGCGCTCGGAGAAGGCCCAGCGGAGACCACGTGACATCCAACGCAATCGTGACGTAGGTCGTCTCGGGACGAGAAAAGCTACGGCGAGGCTGATGTCGAGAGGATGGCCTAGTCGTTCCAGTCACCAAAGCGGCTGCTTTGTACGAATTTTGAGTGACGGGTTAATCTTCTATAATCTTGTAGGGGGACAATAGCGAATTCTGTGACCCACAAAAGAGATTCTCGGGAAGAGGGGGGTTCCTCCGCCCCTCTTCTCTGTACTGCCAACCAATTTTGTACAAAACTGCAAAGAGTATGCCAGTTTCCACAGAAAGATAATTTGGATAGCATATTATCTGAAGCACTAATTGAAAGCTTTTTGTAAATTTACACAAACCCACCGTAACAACGCAGCAGTGTAAGGCTTCTGAGCTTGTGGTATCTTTAAAGCAAAATAAGCTTCTGTGCAGTTCTGGCTCAAAATTTCCAAATGTTGATAAAATGTAGCATGATGTACCAGAGTTAATATTTTGGGGCAAATGGCGCAGCAATCACATAAACTGATATAGCTTTGTCTGCAGAGTTTGGACTACGTTAAGAGCTTCAGAGTCGAATCATACTTCAAATGGTCGTCACACGCAGATAAGTTAACAAGGCCAAGTACAGACATCCTCACCGACAATGTCATCCACGGTTTCTTTGTGCAGGGGCTCTTTTCCTTCTCCAAAGGTCGAGCCCCTCAGGCTTTGAGTGCCCAGGGTCGTCTGGCCGAAAACCATCTCTGCCAGTTCTTGTGTGAAAATTGACGGCCCTGCGTTTTGTAGCCTTACCATCCTTATCGCAGGCAAAAGTGTGTTGCCAAACTTCAACTGTGACGGAGAGAAAAGACAGATGACAGGTTTTAGACTTAAATCGTTCCATACTATAAATCAAATTTATGAGGTGAATAAAAAAAGCAATTCAGTGTGTTTACTCCCGAACTAAGAGAACAAGCAACACACCCGAGTGTGCTATTTGAAAGCCTCTGGCGTCGCTTGAAGCTTTCTTTAAACTGCTTTCAGTTCAATCATATTACCACCAAATTTGCCTTGCAGCAGCATCCTATTTCATGGAAAGGGGTCTTTATTGGGAAACCGTTACCGTTACAAAGGAATGAGAAAACAAGGAATAGCTCCGAAACCAGAAACAAATTTAAAAGAAGTTTTGAATTTGAATCTTAAAAACCTCTAAGACAAGTGGGCTGCTGGCAAAAATCCCACGTTCAGAGACCTCTGCACTAAACTATAGTCGGGAACAAGATCAGAAGAACAGGATTCAATTGTCCCACCTCCTGTGCACGCTTCCAGCCTTCCACGATGCATCACTCTTCCTGTGTGCACTAGCAGCCAAATTTAAACGTAAGACAATGAGCGCATGCTGGAGGCAGGACAATGAAAAAAGACGCCCTGTGCTCCTTGTGTTGTCACTGGCTAAGGGTCTAACCACTTGCACGATTTTCCTGTTTGAACAGAAGTCTCCAGATCATGACATATACGTCAACATCAATGAATTCCTAAAGAAAAAAAAAAACCAAGAACACCTCCAATAAAAAGTTGGGCAAATTCAACAGGCCCAGCTTGACGGACTGCGCATTTTACGATCATGCTGTTAGTATCTCTTGCCAAGGCCGTGTGCGCTGTGCGCACACGGCCACTTTAGATAAAAGCATGCATGACTGGATGCTTACAGGTTCTACTGGACGCTTAATGAGGTACTACTAAAACTAAAAAGAAGCTAAATCTGGAATTTCACTATAATAGAGCTAAACACCACAGTAGTAAAGTCAATCTAGACTTACAGTCTCACCTGGTCCATTGTTAACAGCTGTTGCACCAGCTGCCACACCAGTTAGCATTTTATCCACAATGCCTGGAAGCCCTACAAAACAAAAGCACACTATATGAAGTGAACATGTTAGCACTGCTTCAATGGTGCCCATACATATTTGTTTGATGCACTTGGGATGACACATAAAAAACATCACCTCCTATAGACCGTTCCATTAGGGTCATAGCAGAGAGGGTAATAGAGAGAAAAAATGCCCTCTCCCTCTCACCCCGCATGTCGCCTGCTCCACCGAGTGGGCAGTACCTGGCATTCGGCTGGCGTGCAAACTGTTTAAAATCGCGTCATTTTGGAAATTTCAAGCGCAGATGCGCAGATTTCGGCATGCCAGTTATTGTGTAATACTATGCTAGATAAAAAGACTAACAGGGTCCAATTGTGATGTTACCTGCGTGCAAATAAAAAAAAAAAATATATATATAAGGAAAACTGTCAGATTGGTTGGTCTCTACGGCGAAAATTAAATTCGGTTGCTGTACCCTTTTTTTACTATGCAAAGTTTGTACTGGTGTAGGCCTTTACCGACCATGGGTGGAAGTCTCAAATAATAAATTAAACATGCTCTTTTGCCGCAATACACATTGTAGTTGAGGGTAGTACTGCCGGCTGACTCAACTATACTATTGAAATAACGGAAAAAAAGATATGCTAACATCGAAAAACGAGCGTGTTGGTAAATACTTAGACCAGTGGATCTCAAATGGGGGTCCGCGAAGGCATTCTAGGGGTCCGCGAAGCCCTACCTCATCTGTCAAGCACGGCAATAAAAGTTGTCTTTTTTCAGGTCGAGAAGAAATGTTTCCGCTTTTGGCGAGTTTTCTCATGTCTATGTCAATAAGAGAGGGCTACTTTATACTAGCACTCAGTTATTTCTATATATTAAATCATTATTATATTTAACCGATACATTTCCCCTCCTCTCACCACGAAAGGGGATCCTCCATCAGCTCCGCCGATTCACAAGGGGTCAGTGAAACATCGATGGTTGAGAACCACTGACTGAGACAACCGGAAAGAATAAACACGAATTTGGGACGCAAACAGACGATACAACTCTTTCAACTCTCATCGACACTCGCACAACACCGCACATCGCCTCAAGGGACTCGCACCTCGCTTCGAGGTAGGGGTAGTGTTTAGCTGCAAGCAAAAGCTTCAACAAATGTGCAGAATGGTGAATACCCCGCCCTCCGCGACTCAATGCAACAAGAAGCACGGACAGCAGTTTGTTAAGTGCAGGAAAGAGGTGGTTTATGCCATCCCTTTCTCGTGTGGCGGGGAGTATATAGGGCAGACCGGGAGGTGTCTAAATGACCGCCTGAGTGAACACTCGCAGGAGGTGAGCAAACCCCCCCCGACGACTCCATGCACCCAATAGTTGTACATCGTATGACGTGCGACGGTTGTTCGCCCAGATACGAAGGTACGCGCGTATTGGGAGGACACCAGCAGAGATTTGGCAGGGAAGTCGCCGAATCGTACGCCATTAAGAGCTCGGTAACTAACGTCGCCTCACCCTCTCTGGCCCTTTCCGACAGGGAGATGAAATTCCTCCATCCCGAACTGGGCGGAGGGGACCAGAGACCTTGAGGGAAGGCCGCGAATAACCCGTTTTTTCCCCTCCTCCTTTTTAAACCCCCCCCCCCCTTTTTCCTTCTCTGCTCCCTCCCCAGAATTGAACCATGGTTAAAAGCGCTAAAAAAAGACGTACACAAGATAGAATACAAACACGGGCGCTACTCACAACTGTATCGGGAAAGGAAGATGGAAGTACATATATATATCTATATTTGATACACTTACCGTCACCCAGGCTACTCATGCGCGAGATACAAGAGCATGAAACCGTTTACATGTATTTATCGAAAAAACGAATCTCAGCGTTATACAATGCTATTGACGTGTCACTGACACACTGGGGTCCCCTGTTCTTGATAAAATATTCTCTTGCAGTTTGCGTGCCCTTTGAATTCTGCTTCTACCGAGAATCTTGGTATCACCGAAGCGTGGCTCGCATTTGCAGACCCTACAGTGCGCGGGCAAATGTGCCCTGTCATTTGTCTTTAAATTTTGCGCGTGCTCTCTTAAACGCTCATTCGTGCATCTTCCCGTTTGTCCAACGTAAGATTTTCCATACGTTAGGGGGATTTCATACACGACCCCTGTGGCGCATTCGATGTACGGCCTGGCGTGCTTCGTGCCACATCCTCGCTCGTTCTTGATTTCTTTAGTAATTCGAGGGCAAAGTTGTCCGAGTTTCTTTGGCGCTGAAAACACGAGAGGTACTCCGTACCCGTTCGCAACCTTCTTGAGGTTGTGCACCATTTTGTGTACATATAGTACAACCTCTGGCCTCATATTGCTCAGTGCCGACTGCGTCACTTTCCTGGTTGTGTGCCCTTTTACTTTCTGTAGGGTGGCCTCTGCCACACTCCTCAAGACCGTTTGAGGGAAGCCCGCTGACTATAGTCTAGTCAATTGGTTGTGGAAGCTGGCCTGCATGCGGTGAGCACACGACTTCTTGATAACTGACTCTAGGCAGAGCGTTGCAATTCCTCTCTTTACCACCTTAGAATGCGCAGAGTCATATGGCAGGAGTGTTTTTTGGGATCGTGGGGAATACATCCAACACACGTGTCCCTCCTGCAACTTCAAGCTCGGGTCTAAAAACTGTAGGTGATCCTGGTTGGGAGCTGGTTGGTTAAACGACATGGTAAGGGCCTACATTTTACACATGGACTCCCTAACCAGGATCACCTACAGTTTGTAGACCTGAGCTTGAAGTTGTAGGAGGGACACATGTGTTGGATGTATTCCCCACGATCCCAAAAAGCGCTCCTGCCATATAACTCTGCGCATTCTAAGGTGGTAAAGAGAGGAATTGCAACGCTCTGCCTAGAGTCAGTTATCAAGAAGTCGTGTGCTCACCGCATGCAGGCCAGCTTCCACAACCAATTGACTAGACTATTGTCAGCGGGCTTCCCTCAAACGGTCTTGACAAGTGTGGCAGAGGCCACCCTACAGAAAGTAAAAGGGCACACAACCAGAAAGTGACGCAGTCGGCACTGAGCAATATGAGGCCAGAGGTTGTACTATATGTACACAAAATGGTGCACAACCTCAAGAAGGTTGCGAACGGGTACGGAGTACCTCTCGTGTTTTCAGCGCCAAAGAAACTCGGACAACTTTGCCCTCGAATTACTAAAGAAATCAAGAACGAGCGAGGATGTGGCACGAAGCACGCCAGGCCGTACATCGAATGCGTCACAGGGGTCGTGTATGAAATCCCTCTAACGTGTGGAAAATCTTACGTTGGACAAACGGAAAGATGCACGAATGACCGTTTAAGAAAGCACGCGCAAAATTTAAAGACAAATGACAGGGCACATTTGCCCATGCACTGTAGGGTCTGCAAATGCGAGCCACGCTTCGGTGATACCAAGATTCTCGGTAGAAGCAGAATTCAAAGGGCACGCGAACTGCAAGAGGCATATTTTATCAAGAAGAGGGGACCCGAGTGCGTCAGTGACACGTCAATAGCACTACCACTGACACGTCAATAGCACATCGAACTATTGACAAGTCAATAGTGCGATGTTCCGTACAGCCCGCCGATACAGCTCAAAGATGAAGAGTGGCAACCTCCCGTTTTGTCGTCTGCTAGCGGGGTCGGGCTTGTGCCCTCTCTCTCGTTTTACCCTGCCGAACCCGCTGAATTTCCCTGATGTATGGAGAGGGCGCTGCTGTCGAACAATATGGTGCCACCCAGAGAGCGCTAAATGGAATGGTCTATTTGCATTGGAAGCTTGGCAGCAGACTTTGCT